CAAAAACACCACTTTTGTTAGACTTTGGCGGGCGTGCTGATATTCAAGAATTTGACGCAGGGTGAAGATCTGGTCGATGCTACCTCGATCAGTGCAAAAACTGGCTTGTTCCTAGCGAGACAAGCTCTCTCGAGTTGCTGAATGCCTGCTGAGCTATATGGACACAAGAACCTTATACGCGACCGATATAAGTGATATTCCTCGGTAGTTGGTGCAGTGATTGCGGGAGCCTTTCTTGTAAATCGGGACCACGAAAAATTCGCCCCAAAGGTCAGGAATCTTCTCATCGGCCCTCACTTTCGTGAAAAGCTAGATCAGTTCGCTAACAACTGTGTTCTCTTCATCTTTGAATAGGGCCGGAGAAAGGCTACCAGTGCCTGGATCTTTGCATTGTTTCAGATTCCTCTGCTTCATTAGAAGGATCTGTGCATATGGGCCATGTACCACGTGATAGCAGAGGTGATATCACCGGTGGTTGAGCTGGATAATTAAATTGAAGAACAAAGTGTTCTGCCCAGCGATCCAGACGTTTGCGTATATTAGTGATCCTCGTACCATCTAACGCTGAAGTTATGTGATTTGCATCCAGTGGATCTGATAAAATAATCTGTGGGTGTTTCCGAAAGTCGCAGCAGCTTCCATTTCTTTGACTCCATCGGATCACAAGGAATCACGATCACGCCGAAGCCTTGCTTTTAATTGTTGAGAAATTGTTCGTCGGAGTTCATTATGCTCCACACTGACGGCATTCGAACGCTGACACTCAAGTACTTCCGCCGATGTCGGCTTGATCCAACCTTTAGCTGTTGAATGGACTGGGCCACAAGTAGACGGACCCGCAGAAAACATGATCGGTTGTAAACGTAGCCAATGCTGGTCAACGTGTAGAGGAGGAGGAAAGTGAGATTCTCACGAGACGTCCGTTGATATTCCACTTGAACGACGGGTTCTTCCAATTTATCAATGTTCAGACGAGTTTGTTTGATTTTTGGTGAGCCATCGAAGCGCATGCATACCGTCGCACGTGTCAACGCATGATGAGATTTGATGCAAGTTGACTGATAGGATCTGCAATCTCGGACACTGCCACGCCATCGGCGACTTATGGCGATGCGGTCAATCTTCGACCAATGTTATGACGATGATGGAACACGCCAGCTAGCGTAGTAACGTCTCAGGTGGCGGAAGCTCAAATTGGATAGATGAAGTTGGTGGACGGAGCATAGGCTGAGCAGCCTTTTTCCATTATCCGAGCGAACGCTGTCGTATGCATGCGGACCTCCGAGATGGCATTCGCTAGGCAGTAAAGGACCAACACACGAGTTGAAATTCCTCGCCATTACAATGATGTCGGTTTTGGGGACCATTAGAATCAGCTCATAAAGGTTTTGATAAAATAGGCCTTCGAATCCGGGCTACGATCAGTGGTCGCGTAGGCTGAGAAAATAAACGGAGTACGTTTGTCTTCTCGATGCCTGTTAACTTTGGAAGTGCGTTGTTGTCCCATAGTGCAGAGGCGACTGTTGATGGGGATCCAATTAAGAAGGGCGGCTTCGGCTCTGAAACTAAGAGCACTCTCAACACCAGCTTGCCCAGCTGCGGTGTACTCGACGTCGCCAGAAAGGCGAAGAAGGAAACGCGTGTATAGCTGAACGGGTTAAGACAGTTGGTAGACTGTGTTGGGGTCTTGAAGTCGGGTTTCAGGTAAACAACAGACATCTATAGCAAGAGATTCCAGATTGTGTGCGAGACCGGCTTGTTGTCCAATGTGCACTAAGTTACTCACATTGAATGCTTCTATGTTGAACTGTGGTTTTGGGTTGAAGAAGCGGAGATGGGAGATTGTGGGATTGTCTTCACACGGTTTGGTGTGTGTTTGGTCTAGCGACAGTTACATCAGAGTGCGCGATCGTGTTCATCGATGCGCCTCAGACGAAAGCGGTAAATTGTAGATAAGTAGGCGGCTATGATTGGGAAGTAATAGCAGCAGTTTCAGAGAAGCAATCCATTAGTGGAGCGAGCAAGTGTAGTTCAACACAGCTTTATGCTTCCTTAGTAGGCGAAATACTACTCGGTTGCCTAAGCCGAAGTGGGGGGTTTTCTTAGGGACCGTAATCCCGAGCCTTTGGCCAATGGGTCTAACCCCCAAGGCGGTGGGGCGATAAGAGAGACTGGCACCTGTTGGGAGACGGTGACTGATTGCTCGATTCATTTACCTTTCCGCTGGCTAAAATCCATACGAGGGGCGCAACACTTCCGTCCACAATGACTTGATTTAGTGGTGAGTCACATGCGCCACGCCATAGCGCTTTCATGAGGCCTACCTGGCTTTGTATAGGGGAACGCTTGTTAGTCGAAAACCCTCCACGCCACCCGGCACCGGCGCTGAATTTTCCACTACTGCTTATTTATCTCAATACAAACTATGTGCGATTTATTCAGTTACCTCTGCAAAGGAGGCATCCCACAATCCAGAACTTGTGGACGTGCCCGGTAGCCTACATCTCGGATATGACTGAATAGTCGTTGAGAAAGGCCAACGATTAAGCGTCTCTGCTAGATAACTTCGCCCTAGTCTCACTATATTTATTCCACTCTTTTGCTTGTTTTTTGGGTGCCACTTGTTGCTGTAAGCCGTGCGAGGGAACTTCTTAACTGGAACTGTGCAGGAATGTGCGTAAAACTCTTCTCTGAGTTCACTGTGACAGGGGTGGGTTTAAGCCTCTTCCTCTTCTCTTCAACTTTCTATTCGAAAAAATCATCAGTGACTCTAATTCATCCACTTCCTGCGGTGCATGAATTTTTGAGCCTAACCGATTTTACAAACAGCTCTTTTGCGATTGGATCCTGTTACTGAACAAATGCCTATGAAAAAGTGTGAGCCTTACATCCTCTGACTTGTGTTTCGCACCTTCGACCGGCCTATCTCATTGCTCGTTCGCGCAGCGACAGAAGTTCTGTTCACTTAAACCGGTTGGCTGTATCCCATTCGAGTTCAACTTGTCGATAGGGTAACTGCGCTTATCGGGTTTCATTCTTTTTCCCGCTCTTTGGTTATCTGTGCGAAACTCAGGCATCAATTTATCAACTGAGAATAATTTTTACATGGCCACAACGCACTCAACGACATTTCTTTGCTCGTAAGCTCTGATATTTGGCGTCAAAGCACCGCTTGTGGCAGACCGTTTGCTCTTGCAGCGCACCCCACTTATTGAGCTACAACAACTACTTTTGCTATCCCACTCTTTGGAACTTCACTGCACTATCTAACAAATTTCCATGCATACACCGGTAGCTGCATGTTAGCCACACTCATATGATACACTTAGCGCTCTCTCTCTGTCAAGTATGCAGTTGGCATGCTCACACGTGACTCCTTGGTTGTCTGGTAGATGGGGAATCTGACCGACAATGTGACCACGGTTCGAGTATGCTTAACTGCTTCGGTCGCATCCCCAGGATTGATAAAACCAGTTTTAAGCGCTGTGTGACATATTGCGATCGGTTGGTCGTGATGTCGTAATCATCCTATCAGCCGTATTCTCCTTATGCTCAAACCACTATATTTTCTTTTTCCCAACCCCTGCGTTTCCATGCTCGCTTTCTTTTCTTCGTTTTCCTCATCTCTGTTGTGATGGCCTCGTTTCTCTTGTATGGTTATATTTAACAAGCTATCAAGAACCCAAAACTGTTCGTCGTACTGGACGCAGTTGCGGCAAATGTGCTTTCGCCCAGAAAGAAAATGAAATTATTTTCTTTCATGGAATCAGTTTATCTGATGACTTTCTTGTCAACAAAGCCTTAATTGTCACGCTGTCCGTCCCCTATGCAACTTCTTTTTTGACTCCTTTTGCAATTCCGATGTCGCTTAATTACTTCCCTGATTACGATCTTTGTTTTTTAACCTTCCTCTCCCTTGAACATTACTTTTTTCATGAGTCGTTATATCATTTTTACGTGCGATTGGCATCTTCCTTTTTATGGAATAACATCAAGCTGTCTGTTTGTAGTCGTCATTTATTTGGGCATCCGTCACACTTGTCTCATCTGCTGCTATCTACGGAACAATCTCCAGACAGCGGTGGCTCTCATTTTCTCACCAGCACCTCTATTTTTCTGCACTGTATTCACGGTCGGTATTTGTGCAAAGGTTTCCGCATACGTTTTGTTGTGCAATCGTTACAAGGCCTATGACTTCGTAATAGTCTGAGGAGGCCGACGAGGACATACCTCGATCGACCGTGCACTTCCCTAATTTCCTTCTTTTTCCCAAGCACCCTAGTTGTACTTTTTTGTCACCCCAAGAACAACTGATTGCAAGTATGTTCTCGATCAATCTAAAGAACAAAGCATTTATCTGATTTATCAGGGTGTTGGGATCAGTCTTAACGCTCATTCTGTCGAGTCCCATAGCTGTGACAATTTACTTAGATGCCTGTGCTGATGGTAGTGGTATTCTTTTCTTCGAACTCTGAGGAGGTGTGCAACTTCATTTCCCTGGCGTCCTGATTGCCTCCCTTCCATGCAATTCCGTCGCACCCTGCTGTGGAATAACAGATCTATTCAGCATGCGATCAATAGTGAACGCGTTACCCGACAACTTGCCATTCTTGCTTATTCTTAAACGCCAATGGGTGCCAAATGTTTGTGTGCATTCATTTCACCGTTCGGAAAGATGCTTGCTTTTCTTCCAAATTACCTCAATTTCTTCCCACATCTTGTTCGCTCGCTGATCCTCATTTTGGACCAGTTAATACCCACGCGACGTATTCGTCATTCCCTAATGGTACAGGAACGAAGCAGTATTGGCTGTACACGTTCAACTTCAGTTTATTCGCGCCTATTTACATTCGGGTTATTCTCCAGGAACCAAATTTATGCAACTGTGTCCTGTTTAATGCGCAACAGCATAGGTCCATGTTGACTCGTATCATACCACACATTTTCATCACCGATCTAATTCCGTTTTTCATTTTTCTTTTTGATCATCACTCCCACAGTACAATCCCGTGTTCGATTGTGTAGTCAGCGCCGATTCCGACGGGATGCTGGAGTTCTGGGCTGGTCCGAGCCAGAATTACAGATTTCCTCGTCTTCTTGACTGGGAGTACAAATCGGAGACTGATTTGTTCTGTCTGATTGGAGCGAAAACCTCCGCCATCAGTCTAACCGTCTCGTCCAATGGCCAGACTCTGGCGGTCTTCTCCATGGATAGACGAGTGAGTTGCTCCCAGGATTCTAAGATCACCCATTTGAAATCAGGACGCCTTTTTTCATTTTCTACGCTCTTCACAATATGCTTCTCCTGGATACATCTATTTCTCCTCATAGTTCACTTTCTGCCCATTTTGATTGTTATCGCCACAGATGGTGCACACACTCAGCTTGTGAAGGAGGACTTCGTGTCGTACTTTGTCGAACGCTTTGCTGAAATCGTTGTAGCTTGCGTCGACAGACTCCCCCTGATTCATTGCTTGCAACCTTTCATGTCTTGTCACCGGTAGATTGATGATGCATGAACGCCCTGGCATGAAACCGTATCTTGCTGCCGTCAAGAGATCTTCTGACCGCATTAGCTGTACCAATCTCTTCTCGCTAACCTTGGTCAAAATTGGTGTCAAACAAATTAGCCTGTAATTGTCTGCTTGTCAAATTGAAGCTTGCTCGTATCTTACTTCACTTCAGTTTGGTCTCAGAATATTTAATTTTGTAAGGACAGCTGGCTCAGCCTTACACGGCCAATCTCATCACACTCACTGTCTCTTTCTCACATGCCATTGCTAGCTGCTTATTGGTGTCACCTAACAAACTCTTGTCTGAACACTGCGTGCGTGAGCTTCGTGCTTCGTGTTTTCAAAGGCTCTTTGCCCTCTGACACCATGCCTGCGTTCTGGCTCTGGTGGTCAAAGCGTCTTCTGGCGTTTAGTACAGTCGCTATCATTATCATATCTGGCCTTATCACCTGTAACTCAGACGAGTTTCATCCTCCTGGCTGCATCATCGTTGTCACAAGCAGTACTTCGCACTGAGCATCCGATTTCGGACTCTCTCTGAAGTGTCACTGATGTGGCTGATCTCAGGAACTATTGTCAGGTTTCCGAACCCCCACGATCCGGTCTCTGGCTCACTGGTATTGAGGGTGAAGCCTACCCAAGCCTGCCCATTCTGGCAATATCCCGGCTTGTATACAACAATAACGACGAATATTCACCTTCATGGCCGGTCATAACTCATCATTTGCATTCATATTGTCCTGATCGTCTTTCCATTGATTAGTTCCACACATGCGATGCATGTGAGAACGCTCTACTGTTGTTTATCATCTTTTATATGTATTCACGGGTCCCCCCATTGGTACTTGTGCGACACGCCTGTTCGGTAGTGTTGCTCTTGAATGTAGGTCCCAAGTGGATGACGTATTGTGCACACTGAACAATAATAGGTACACCCTCTTCACGCAGCCGAAATTCTAGTCCATCAAGGTGAAGATAACAGGGGCTTGGGCCTGTGCTGATGATCAGATTGGACTTCGACTGAGGACGAGAGCGATTTCGAGGAGACACTTCAACTCTGACTTTGTGGTGACTCTTGTTAGGTACACATTAGTCTCGAATCTCTTATGCCTCGTTCGCGGTTAAATTGCTTTCAATGCCGCGCTCTCAAAACCATGAGATACTGCTTCCACTAATCTGAAATAAACTGAGATGACTGACCTGCCATCATTTACTCCGAGCTGGCTTCCACGCAACGCGCCCAAGCGTTTTGCGGAACATTGTACCTGAACAGGGTCGCACTAGTCATGTTCGTTTATTCTTTCGTAGACTCATTTCGCTTACCACCTTCACCTAAGATCACTGAACCAACTTTGCATTTTGGTGCTACATGTGCGCTCCAACGGACCTGCGTTCGCAGTGCTCTTCTTGTCCGGACTCATTATTTTTTGTGGATGAATGTGCTTCTCTCTGTTTCGCTTACGTCCGACTTTTTGGCCGCTTCGTTGCGCATCCCGGCATATTAGCCGCATGCACCATCACTTTCCTCATTTCCCGGCTTATTCCCACTGTCATTCGGCCTCACCCGTCGAGATTGTTTTCTTCTCTTCAGTTCATTGACTCATGGATTCTTCTCTCTTGGATGCTGGCCTTCACACTTGGTGTCCTAAGTGTTTAACTCGGTTCATGGTACGCATGGTACTATGTTGGGCACTTATCTGATCATTCACGAAATGACATAATCTTTCTTGTCGAAGGTTTTAAAGTTCACTCGACTGTCTCATGGGGCTAGCGCGTTTCGTAGGCATGTTACGTGTAACCAGTGAACTGTTTTCATGTACCATTACGTTCAACGTTTCTGAGACGCGATTTGTCAGAGATGTATATGTTTGGTCCATCACTAAAACCATATCGAGTCCTCCGCTCCGGCGCTCAGTGCACACACGCCCAATTTCCCTCATCCTGGCTTTCCTTAAACACCTGGACCACCCTGCCATCGGCGTCTGGCCACATTCCTTCATCCGACTGGCTCCATCATTTTTCACTATACCAACTTTTTACTTGATATTTGTGTTCCCAACAGCGGATTTATTAAAACCTATGCGCTCGCTTCTCATGGCTGGTGCTGGTATTCATTCGCTAACCTAGTGTCGGTATCTTCATTCTCGAACCATTTCCTAACCGCTTTTGAAGGTATGTATTCTCAATGGGGGGAATGCTCTCTCTGCACATACACTTGTCTGGCGCCACGTCATTTTCCCGATCGCGACAAACATCTCGATGCTATTCACATCGTGCGACATACAACGAAGTGCTGATTCCTCACGGTTTCCCTCCGGATCACTTCTTGTCCTTGCTTGTAGTCAGTGGTCGGTTACTAGCTATCAAGTGGTTTTCTTACCCTCCAATACTCAACATAAAGCTTTCCTAGTCATTACAGGATGTCAACACCTTTGTCGCTCTTCATGGAACCCCTTTCAGATTCGGCTTTTTCGATTCAATACAGGCAAACTTATCCGGGTTTACGATGAAAGTTTAGAACAGTACTCCAAACTGCAGCAGGTACGTTTGGGTACGTTTTAAATCAATGTCTTATTCTGTAAGTCTCATCTTCTGTCGTCTCTCTTTGCATTCGACAACTAAACGGAATAACGTATGGCCACGTGGCACGTAACTTCTGCTTTTCGATTGAATGTTTATTTGCACATGCTCGGAAAACACTACCTTCATTCTGATGGGTTAATCTGATTTTCTGTTTTTTTGTGTATGCCATCTAATGTGCATCGCATGCGCGCTGCTAACTTTGCAACCAGAACGCCACCCGATCCTTAAGAACCCATCACATTTAACTAAGTGTTAAGACGTGCCAACTGAGACTAAACGTCTAACGATGTTGACTTGTTTCAATTGTTAAGTCAAAAATTGGTGAGTTAAGTAACTAGAAAATTATGGTGTCAAAACAACCACATGAGGTGTGCAGGGGTACGTATCCGATGCCGAACCCTTGCTTGGGCAGAGGCGATCCTGATTCGTGTATGCATAAACAGTTGGTTAATGCTTTGTTTTTACCCCGTGGCTTGCTGTGTTGTCCCGGTAGCTTCTGTGTTTCAACTATGTTACGTTTACTTGCCTGCTGCCCACTGGAATAAGTTTTGTTTTATTCACTGACTTCAGGATGCAAATTGACAACAGGAACTAAAGTCGTTAACCGTCGGACTGCTAGCTACTTTTTCTTGTTATGTTCTTAACTGGAGTCGCACCAATGACTGTGTGCTCCGCTGAAGAAGCTGCACGGCGTGGCATGCGGCCGACCTCATTGGCACCCCCACCATCATGCCCCAAGTAGTTTTTTTCTCGTTGGGTCAATTGGGAGCTACAGACTTGATCATGATGCGATGCAGGGAAACTCACCAGTAACAACTACCGGCCAACTACGCGCACTTCGATAGCCTTTAAGGTGTTCGAGAGAAATATACTTAGACTAGTGATGACTCAAATACCTTCGAATGACCCAAACCCGTTTCCTTCTCATAGTTCCAAGTATATTGTCCTGCCTCTTCTATTTAGTACTCTTGTTATTGAGTATTCAAAATAAAGTCATACACACTTACTTCCTCGACGGTAACAATGTCTACAACTTCGTACACTGAGAGTTTCTGCTACATGATGTACTCGACTCTGTGATTCTCCTGAAGGATTATTTGCCAAGCACGGTTCATCCGACTCGGTGGGAAGTTCTCCACCGTTTACCACCAATTCCGGAGTAATTCTGTCACCATTTCTAATTTCCATTTACATAATATCAGTACCTGTTCTATAAGAAGCGAAGTATTTGGCTATACTGGCTACCTGCTGTTAGATATCATGCGCCTGATCACAATCTATTCATCCAAGCTGCAAACCTATCTGGACAAACTCACATTGGCCATGGTCCCGTCACCTATGACTGAATGCAATAAAGTGCAACAACGTAGTTTTCTCCGTGCACCTCGCAGAAGGCCTCAGATTCACAGTGAGGGTGTACACGCATTCATATCACTGAACTATCAGGGAACCACGTTGCGTCGTTTTATCTTGGTGGCTTCATTCGCACGTAGGTGTTTATTAATCCGCTAGGTATCCATTTTACGTTTCTCATCCGAGCTCCGCATCTATCTCGCACATTCTAACTCACCCGATTAGACCTAGTGCTTACACGCGATTTATCCGGATTTACTATGCAAGTATTTTAACACACTTGGAAAGTTGCCGTAACATTAATCGCTGTGTAGCGGCATTCCAAAGCAGACATTTTGAGAACATTGTAGTGTCTATGCACGCTTATTTCAGGAAAAGCATGCGTCAAATTTAATCGTCAATCACCACCTACATAGCCCACTATCCCTTCGTGTATGCACTTCATCGGCCAGAAGAAAGCGATATGTCCACTCATGGGCCCGCTGTTCTTCGGCCATCCATTATTTGCTACATTTTTAATAGAGCACCAATTTATCACCAAAGAATTGGTTGGTACATTCCATCATTTATTTCCTGTCCATGATTTGCTAGACCACTGTTTTACTGTATTCGATTGTGGTAATCTTTTACTATCGCTGCTGAAGAGCCTGCGTGTTGTGACTAACTATTCACCTCTCCCGAGTGGATAACGCATTTCTCGGTTAAATCTATCTTACTGATATGGCCCTCTTTCATACGGCGACCAATTGTTTGTGAGCAAACGTGCCGTTGCAAAACAACTTGGAAAATGCATGATGCAGATAATGATTTTGGACGCTCACAATCACATCAAGAAATATGAGATTTGTTTAAACGAACACAGATCCGCCTGTCTACATATCATAGAACAATATCTGCAGAACAACTGAGCATAGCAATAGATCGCAGAACATCAAAGGTTAGAGCGAAGAAGCAGATCGCTTTGCAAGACAAGTTGGTTATAACTTTAAAGACGCGGGATCCACTTAATTTCTTGCCGGATTTGAGAATGTTTTACAACCCAGTGGCTTTGATGAAGAGACGACACATTTAAGCCATACCGTCGTTGCAATTCTAACACACGACTATCAACAACATTGTTTATCACAGCAATAGAAGAAAGCAATAAGAGGCTGATCCTGCATGCGGACAAAAGGCGTATGACTGTTGTAGTGAATAAAACAGCATACGTTGAAAAGGCAAGGAACCTCCTTACCGACAGCACAACATGCCGCTGCTTGGAAATCGATCCAACAGTACAATTACCAAATAAAATATATAAAACCCTAAAACGACTTCAGAATTTAAAGCAACTCACGAAGGAGGAGCACCACAGAATGGAAGCTCGTGACTCAAACATCAGCCGATTCCAACGGACTTCCGAAGATGCACATAGCAGGTGTACTACTTCGGCCAATCCTGTCACTCCCGTGGTACGCTCACCTACAACTTGGCTAAAGAATTATGGAGACGCCTTAAACACCTGACTAGCGGATCGCAGTATTTCATAAACAATGCTCAGCAGTTTTTGGAGGAGCTTAAAGGACTGCAAATTGATCATATATATATATATATATATATATATATATATATATATATATACGAATAGACATGGAGTCATCAAAAACCATGAAACGCAAAGGAAGGTATAGAAATCGTAAAACACAACACATAGGACTCCATGGTTTTGTCAGAGTGCAAGCTACTGCCCGGTGGCCCAAGCCGAGGTAGGACTTAGGAGACACCACCCAAAGCCTTTCTCAGAATAGCCTGCCCGCAGGGCAGCGGAGAGAATTCAGGGAATCGCGCTTATTGGAAGCCAATGACTGATTACTCAGTTCATACGCCTTTCGTTTGTCAAACAGCGGCCCAATGCTCCCTAGAATTACAGCATTAAGTTGCTGGAATACAATGCTTCGCCAGTATGAAGCAAGGGGCAATGACTTTATTTAGTGGCTGATCACGTCCGCCACGTCACAACGTGGTTTTTTATAGGGAGTACGTTTTCCAGTCGAAAACCCACCACGTCCTGGAATACTGCCGCCGAATCATTTGCTGGAACGGGAAAATCCCGAATCACCAGGCTGTCACCATGAGGAGGTTGTTCAGCAAGCCAGCCGATCATAACTAAATAATAGTGTCCTTCGACGTTACTACACTGTTCACTTCTGTCACCTTACATCTGGCGAAATGAAACCTCAGAGAACGCCTGAATGTTGCCGGTGGAACAATTGGGAATCTAACGACTGATAGTACATGTGAGCTTTTCGATTTATATCTCACGATGTACTTTAATTTCAATGAAACATTTTATGAACAAGTGAAAGGAGCTCTAATGGGATCCCCATATCTGGACTCATTGCAGGTATCGTCATGCTAACGTTGGAGATAAATCTACTCGCAGTCATGAACCCGAAATTGTGGGTCAGATATCTTAACGACACGTTCATCATACTCAAACGCAGCGAGTTGCAGACCGCACAATGCTTGCTGAACGATACAACGGACGGCATTCACTTCACCATGGAATCAGAAATGAAGAACAAACTACCTTTCTTGCATGTACTGTTTACTAGAGCAGCAGACGGAGAACTACAAACATCAGTTCACAGGAAAGACACGCACACAGTTCAAATCCTAAATTTCAACAGCAGCCATCCAAAATGTCACAAATTCAGCTGCATACGGACTTTGTTTCGCAGAATAGAACCACATTGTAGTACTGCGGAAGCAAAACGCGGAAAAGAAAACCATCTGTTTACAGCCTTCATGCGTAACGGATATCCACGCATTTTCATCCGAAGATGCATAACCTGCAAGAGTACAAATGCCACGCCTAAACCAACAACAACGTAACGGATCGTTTTGCCGTACATCAATAAAGTATCGGAAATGACAGTTCGACTCCTCAAACCTCATCATCTGTTTTTAGCTCACATACGAACCGCCATTGAAAGGTGCGCCGTCTAGACCAAAAGGGAAACGACAGCATACTAACGTCGGAACATTGTTTACAGGATACAAGGTAAAAATTGATATAAGCACTCTATGGGCCAAACGGGGAGAAATAGTCTACAAGGTTACAAGAACACAAACGAGTCTGTCAAAATCATTACTCATCATCATTCGTCTCGACACAGGTTCATGAAGAAGGACATATGTTTGATTGAGAGGAACCGTAGGTCCTGGCGCAGGGAGGGACTAGAAAAGGAAAAGAATTTCTCGAGGCATGATTCTCTACGGAGAATTCAGTAATCCTGCGCATTAACTTTGATCTGGTCTACCATCAGCTGCGAAAAAAGAACTCACCACATGAGTCTAAAAGGGGCAGTGACCGAACTGCGAACTTGCAATGATCACGGGAAGCGAATCGAAATGGCCAAATTCAAACGTCACTCGTTCGTCGGTCAAGAGTCGACAAACCACACAGTTTGCTTACTAGGCACTGATGAAGTCACCTCGATTGGTGATGAAACGTCTGCAACGAAATTGTTCAGCTCGGAGAACAGACCAAAACCTGAACTGTTTTTGACCTTACGGTATACGCGTGAAATAGATTTTTTAAATCCTCTATGCTTATTCTGTGGCTTTCACTCCTACATTAGGATCACAGTTCCAATTATCCTTGTTTTTTTTACTGGAACCATTGCTTCATTTTTATCTCCGTTGTAACGAAGCACCACACAGTGTATCAATCCATCGTTTTTCTCGGCTATCGTTAATATGACAATTTATTGCGCTTTTCACCGCGATTATTAATTTACTTGCACCTCGCTTGTCGCCATTATCCTCTCAGTCCGCTATAAATTATACGCCAATCATCCACTGATTCACTTGACCTAACGAAGCTTTTGTGTCGAAGACATAAGTTGCCCCTGAGACGCACAAATTGATTGTTTTCACATCCTTCTGAAATGATAATTTATCGTTTTGCAGAGTTCTCTACTGCAGAATCTCACAGACACTCCGTCCTGAATGCACAGTAGACACAGTGTGCCCCATATCTGTTCTCACCAGCACTTGTTCACCAAATCATGGAATTTTCCAGAATTATCAAGCTTGTTTCCAGTCCAATAATGTAATGATGATTCTTGACTCACCAGTGAGTTGATCACCACCGCTGGACGTAATTCCGGTCTCTTATAGCCAGTTGTTCCAACTCTCTCGAGTTTGGTAGCTGAATACATTTTTCACTGCAGTGACCTCTTCTCCAGATCCATCCCTATCAGTTAAATTGACGTTCAGTATGGCTGTGCGTACTCGCTCCGCCCTATCCAGCTTCCAGTGGCCCCATGTTTACTATAGTCACACTGGCAACTAAGGTTCGCATAAATTGTTCATTTACCTCACTGCTTGACGCTGAGGCCGTTGACTTCGTATGCGCGGTCTATGTGCTCATGGGCCGCTCGGGTGCAGTATCGTTCAGCTGTCACCAAAGACCTTCACACAACGCCGGTGTTGAAAGTCGGGGATACAAAGAAGAGTGCATGTTCGTTCACACATCTCGTTTGGCTTTGCGCATCCCAATTCAAGCCAAGCATCTTTACTTCCGCATGACCAACGATTTGAACTACCTTATGTCTTCAACTTCTAATGAGTCGATCGCATATTCACGGCCGCGTGTAACATTTTCTAGACCTACATTCACTAGAAGTATTACTTGGAGGTGTTGCTCTTCCCGACACTGGTGCTCCCTGACCGGTTTCGTCCTTTTTTGGACTCCTCAGATGGAAATAGCCTGAGCTGGGGTGGAACTCGGGACCTTGTGATTAAAGGCTGACGCCTTGATCACCATACCTCTATGATCCGTGAGCAACACTTGGGACAGTGGTAAGCATTTCAAAGCGTTACTCACAGATCTTAGACGCATGATGGTCAAGGCATCAACCTTTAACAATTAGACCCCGAGTTCCACCCCAGCTCCGGCTATCTCCATCTAATGTGTCTAAACAAGGACAAAACCGGTTATCAAGTGCCAGTGTTGGGAGGGGCAACACCGAACCACCTCCAATTCGCATACAGTCATTGTGATCGTAATGACCGAGGTCCACTTCAAAGTAAACCGAGGTCTCAGTCGGGATTGCGTATCGCAATCCAACCACGCGGCGGGTACTTTAAATCCAATTTTAGAAGTACTGCTTATTAATTTCACACACAGTGCCAGTATTTGGTATCCGCTCTCAAATTATTGTTTCGTTCCTGGGTAACTCGGCATTCATTGGGAGTTGACCTCCATCGCAACACCCATTCCTACCGGTATCCAACAGTTGCCTTTATGACACCTGACCGAATTTGGTTTTTTGTAGTGTAAAATTCTCACGCATTTGATTCAGTGGGTTCCATTTCTGGTCTCTAAGTAACTGAAACGAAAATGCACGAAATTGTTAGTGTCATGCTTTGTTCAGAGCTTGGGACATCGAAATATCCCTACTCCAAATCTACCTGCCTACACATTAATGCGTTCTTTGATCGCTAGTGGTTCACTGTTACCGACTATTCCATGGGTTCCTTATTTAATTTACTTTGCTGCATTTTTTCTCCATGTAGGTTCCAAAAAGTGGCTAACACAGGGTTATTTAGTTGTTAGTCGAAGCTCATCGTTTTGTACTTGGTTCCACGGTGGAAAAATCTTATTTCAAAAGTGATTGTGATAGGTGTCCTCACTACCTTACGGTGGAATATGGCGTGCTGTTATCGCCGGCTTTTCCCCCACTACATTTTCTCCCCTTCCAACTGTCCTGATAACCCTACTGCGGTGTACTCGAACGCAGCGCACCTCTTCAGCCGTCATAGGCCCCTTTTAGCTGTTGTATCCAGAATAATTACTAACAGGTCATCGATGGGGCTGTAGTTTTTCACTTCGCATCGTCCTCCAGCGTTGTATCATTTATTATTTGTCAATCCCTCCAGGTCACCATGTCTTTGTGCACATGCATATGATAATGCCATTCCTATTCAAATTATCTACGATGAAAATTAAACATTCTGACTTAATTTATCTATTATTTGCGAAGTGTTTTTCCTGCCCCATCACCTGTTTTCTACTGCCTCCTCCCCTACCGATTAGACAAAGCAGCTGCTTCCAAGCATGGAATTCGGTCGTCGATTAGCACAGGAAAAGGAATTGGATCGCTCAGAATTCAGACAAAGTTGCAACTTGGGTGAGCCTTCTTTTGTAACCTCAACTCAGCAACAAAGGCGGTGTCCACACCAATTCCGTGAGGAATATGTCTTGTGCTCGCCGTTCTGCATTTCTTTCTGATCATGTTGACCCTATGCAGCTTGGATCCGCAATGAATGGGCTCCCTTATGCACCTGGTTAGACACATTACGTCTTCTACACGTTTCTCTCGATTTGGTTCTTTTGTCTATCTTTCCTACCATGTGCACCATTGTTTTATCTACGTTACCAGGACCTCAATGAAACCCTCTCGTCCCCACATACTGACTAAATCGCTATGTGTGATATCACCCACTAATGTCTGCCAATTGATCACCTGATTTCCGTTCCGCTGCTTGTCGTGACCCTGCTTCATGGGATCGCATATCGTATTCCAACTCATCCACCATGTATTCGAGTCTCCTCATTCTGTAGAGCATCGGACCAATTGCTCTCAGTGTAATATACAGCTATGGCGCAAAGCTAGTGCTACTCATCAGTCATCCTCACTCTACACTTGGCTCACGGACTACCCATGCTGATGCAATGGATCCAACTTTGTGGAGTGTGCAGGCGCTATTAGCTAAGCTGAGGTGGGGCTACGAAACGACTTGACCACAGCCGACGGAGCTATTCGCTTCACCAGTCAAGTTGGCGTACCTGTTGTGATTTACTCTGACTAATCGTCGAGCACTGTACACAGTTTGGACAGGACTGACTCGATACTAGCACACAGTGTGTCGTCATTGGAACAAGTCAAAATCATTACTCATCATCATTCGTCTCGACACAGGTTCATGAAGAAGGACATATGTTTGATTGAGAGGAACCGTAGGTCCTGGCGCAGGGAGGGACTAGAAAAGGAAAAGAATTTCTCGAGGCATGATTCTCTACGGAGAATTCAGTAATCCTGCGCATTAACTTTGATCTGGTCTACCATCAGCTGCGAAAAAAGAACTCACCACATGAGTCTAAAAGGGGCAGCGACCGAACTGCGAACTTGCAATGGTCAGGGGGAAGCGAACCGAAATGGCCAAATTCAAACGTCACTCAGTCGTCGGTCAAGAGTCGACAAACCACACAGTTTGCTTACTAGGCACTGATGAAGCCACCTCGATTGGTGATGAAACGTCTGCAGCGAAACTGTTCAGCTCGGAGAACAGACCAAAACCTGAACTGTTTTTGACCTTACGGTATACGCGTGGAATAGATTTTTTAAATCCTCTATGCTTATTCTGTGGCTTTCACTCCTACATTAGGATCACAGTTCCAAATATCTTCTTGTTTTTTTTACTGGAACCATTGCTTCATTTTTATCTCCGTTGTAACGAAGCACCACACAGTGTATCAATCCATCGTTTTTATCGGTTACCGTTAATATGACAATTTATTGCGCTTTTCACCACGATTATTAATTTACTTGCACCTCGCTTGTCGCCATTATCCTTTCAGTCCGCTATAAATTGTACGCCAATCATCCGCTGACCCACTTGACCTAACGAAGCTTTTGTGTCAAAGACATGAGTTGCCCATCAGACACACAAATTGATCGTTCTCACATCCTTCTGAAGTGATAGTTTATCGTTTTGCGGAGATCTCTACTGCAGAATCTCACAGACACTCCGTCCTGAATGCACAGTAGACATAGTGTGCCCCATACCTGTTCTCACCAGCACTTGTTCACCAATTCATGGAATTTTCCAGAATTATGAAGCTTGTTTCCAGTCCAATGATGTAATGACGATTCTTGACTCACCAGTGAGTTGATCACCACCGCTTTACGTAATTCCGATGTCTTATAGCCAGTTGTTCCAACTCTCTCGAGTTTGGTAGCTGAATGCATTTTTCTCTGCAGTGACCTCTTCTCCAACTCCATCCCGGATCAGTTAAATTGACGTTCAGTATGGCTGTGCGTACTCGCTCCGCCCTATCCAACGTCCAGTGGCCCCATGTTTACTATAGTCACACTGGCTACTAAGGTACGCATAAATCGTTCATTTTAACCCACTGCTTGATGCTGAGGCCGTTGACTTCGTATGCGCGGCCTATGTGCTCATGGGCCGCTCGGGTGCAGTATCGTTCAGCTGTCACCAAAGACCTTCACACAACGCCGGTCTTGAAAGTCGGGGATACAAACAAGATTGCATGTTCGTTCACATATCTCTCGTTTGGCAGTGCGCATCCCAATTCAAGCCAAGCATCTTTACTTCCGCATGACCAACGATTTGAACTACCTTATGTCTTCAACTTCTAATGAGTCGACCGCATATTCACGGCCGCGTGTAACATTTTCTAGACCTACATTCATTAGAAGTATTACTTGGAGGTGTTGCTCTTCCCGACACTGGTGCTCCCTGACCGGTTTCGTCCTTTTTTGGACTCCTCAGATGGAAATAGCCTGAGCTGGGGTGGAACTCGGGGCCTTGTGATTAAAGGCTGACGCCTTGATCACCATACCTCTATGATCCGTGAGCAACACTTGGGACAGTGGTAAGCATTTCAAAGCGTTACTCATAGATCTTAGACGCATGATGGTCAAGGCGTCAACCTTTAACAATTAGACCCCGAGTTCCACCCCAGCTCCGGCTATCTCCATCTAATGTGTCTAAACAAGGACAAAACCGGTTATCAAGTGCCAGTGTTGGGAGGGGCAACACCGAACCACCTCCAATTCGCATACAGTCCTTGTGATCGTAATGACCGAGGTCCACTTCAAAGTAAACCGAGGTCTCAGTCGGGATTGCGTATCGCAATCCAACAACGCGGCGGGTACTTTAAATCCAATTTTAGAAGTACTGCTTATTAATTTCACACACAGTGCCAGTATTTGGTATCCGCTCTCAAATTATTGTTTCGTTCCTGGGTAACTCGGCATTCATTGGGAGTTGACCTCCATCGCAACACCCATTCCTACCGGTATCCAACAGTTGCCTTTATGACACCTGACTGAATTTGGTTTTTTGTAGTGTAAAATTCTCACGCATTTGATTCAGTGGGTCCCATTTCTGGTCTCTAAGTAACTGAAACGAAAATGCACGAAATTGTTAGTGTCATGCTTTGTTCAGAGCTTGGGACATCGAAATATCCCTACTCCAAATCTACCTGCCTACACATTAATGCGTTCTTTGATCGCTAGTGGTTCACTGTTACCGACTATTCCATGGGTTCCTTATTTAATTTACTTTGCTGCATTTTTTCTCCATGTAGGTTCCAAAAAGTGGCTAACACAGGGTTATTTAGTTGTTAGTCGAAGCTCATCGTTTTGTACTTGGTTCCACGGTGGAAAAATCTTATTTCAAAAGTGATTGTGATAGGTGTCCTCACTACCTTACGGTGGAATATGGCGTGCTGTTATCGCCGGCTTTTCCCCACTACATTTTCTCCCCTTCCAACTGTCCTGATAACCCTACTGCGGTGTACTCGGACGCAGCGCACCTCTTCAGCCGTCATAGGCCCCTTTTAGCTGTTGTATCCAGAATAATTACTAACAGGTCATCGATGGGGCTGTAGTTTTTCACTTCGCATCGTCCTCCAGCGTTGTATCATTTATTATTTGTCAATCCCTCCAGGTCACCATGTCTTTGTGCACATGCATATGATAATGCCATTCCTATTCAAATTATCTACGATGAAAATTAAACATTCTGACTTAATTTATCGTTCGGTATTTGCGAAGTGTTTTTCCTGCCCCATCACCTGTTTTCTACTGCCTCCCCTACCGGTTAGACAAAGCAGCTGCTTCCAAGCATGGAATTCGGTCGTCGATTAGCACAGGAAAAGGAATTGGATCGCTCAGAATTCAGACAAAGTTGCAACTTGGGTGAGCCCTCTTTTGTAACCTCAACTCAGCAACAAAGGCGGTGTCCACACCAATTCCGTGAGGAATATGTCTTGTGATCGCCGTTCTGCATTTCTTTCTGATCATGTTGACCCTATGCAGCTTGGATCCGCAATGCATGGGCTCCCTTATGCACCTGGTTAGACACATTACGTCTTCTACACGTTTCTCTCGATTTAGTTCTTTTGTCTATCTTTCCTACCATGTGCACCATTGTTTTATCTACGTTACCAGGACCTCAATGAAACCCTCTCGTCCCCACATACTGACTATATCGCTATGTGTGATATCACCCACTAATGTCTGCTAATTGATCACCTGATTTCCGTTCCGCTGCTTGTCGTGACCCTGCTTCATGGGATCGCATATCGTATTCCAACTCATCCACCATGTATTCGAGTCTCCTCATTCTGTAGAGCATCGGACCAATTGCTCTCAGTGTAATATACAGCTATGGCGCAAAGCTAGTGCTACTCATCAGTCATCCTCACTCTACACTTGGCTCACGGACTACCCATGCTGATGCAATGGATCCAACTTTGTGGAGTGTGCAGGCGCTATTAGCTAAGCTGAGGTGGGGCTACGAAACGACTTGACCACAGACGACGGAGCTATTCGCTTCACCAGTCAAGTTGGCGTACCTGTTGTGATTTACTCTGACTAATCGTCGAGCACTGTACACAGTTTGGACAGGACTGACTCGATACTAGCACACAGTGTGTCGTCATTGGAACAAACTAGCGCAGTTGAAATAACATGGCGAAAATAGTTTTCGTTTTCTCGTTGGGACTTCGGAACAAAATATTGGAAAATGTCCCTTTGCGATCCCAGATCGCTTTCGCTCAGTGGCTGTCTCAGGAATCAATATTGGACTGACCTTTTCTCGACTTTGCCTGACTTGAATTCCATGAACTCAGTGACAGCCTCCAAGATTGGGTCTCTGCAAAGTTGAACGTCCTGGAGATGCCTTTCGTCGCGGTTCAAAATCGATTCCATGATTTGCGTGTTATGGGTTTCTTTGTTGCTCTCAGCATTTTTCTTTCCCACATCATCTTACCATTTTCAATTCACGTTTTTTATCCAGTGTTTATTCATATTTATAACATTTTTATTGGTTTCATTTTTATCGTACCACGATATATTAACTGGACCACCATTACTGTTTACAAATGGCCACCAAATAGACTGTTACCTTTGATAACTCTTTCCGTTCTTGCAAACCCCTTTGTGGTTCGTACCTGTGCAACAGAATAACACTACTTTTCCCTTCATATCCTCGCTGTTTCCTCATGAACATCTTTGGAATCCCATCGTGCCGCAAACCTACTCGATTTTGTATGGCGAATACTGACAGAATGCCGAGTCTACATCAAACAGCATATTCCCTTGCCGTCTTCTCTAGCCCACTTATTTCACTCGCTACGGTGAAAATTGTCGTTTCAGTTGCGTGACCCTATCGTAAACGCGTCGTTCCATCCTGGGGGTTCAACCGTCGCGCTGTAGTTTTATGACTCTTGATTTGCTTTCCGCGCTGTTTTCTGTTCTATTGGCACGTCCTTCGATCTTGGGCTACTGGAAACGTTTGAACACGTAAAACAGCTTTGCTTGTCTAATACTGTTGACCAGACCAGATTCTGTTCGGTCTTTTCATGAGCGCATAGACATGAGACATTAGGTATCGTTACTGACACTTTCTACCTAGACGGTTATCGCAATTCCTTTGCTTCCACATCTACTTGACTCGCAATTCAGCTTATCACACTCTCGGCTACACATGATAACGTATTATGTATATCACTCGTAAACTCTATATCTGTCCCATTTCCTCTCTAAATACTGACCACCCACGACTAAATGTGTTTGCTTGATGCAGATTTCTTACTGCCTACGGCTTATTGATAAGCTAATGGTTACACAAGGTCTGTATTTTCATTGGGATATTTTTGGGTGGCCACTACATGGTCCCCCGTTCTGTCTATCGTTTCCTATCGGAACCTCCGGCCAGCGTCTAGGTTTCGCCGATAGGACTTGCATTATCTTCAAGGAAATTCTTAGTCCCATTTGTGAAGACTCGCTTCTTAAACTCTTTCAGTATTAGCGTCCGATATACACTGCTAATCAGTAGGTCACTCGTTCCCTTATACATGGGTCTCTTGTCTGCGTCCAACTCAACATCAGTGGAATTAATGTCTTCCTCCTATCTTACCCCTTTTCAGTATTCGATGAATCGGGTAACTTCCTGACCTATGCCACGCTTCTCGGCATAAAAGTGGTTAACGTGGTCACTAACCGCGTGGTGCGCAGTCTCGGTGGTCCGGAAAATCTGCGATTCCTTCAAATGACTCTCATCCCACCCCGTGGTCTTTTGGCCACCTCGACCAGTGTGGGCACAGGCACCGGGGCCTCCTTATGCACTCCCAGCCTGGAGATGCTTGCGATGGCGAGCGAAGACAGTGCGACTGGTGTGGCCAGTGGTGCTGGTGGCACCGCCGCGTCCTCAGTGGCCTCCCGCAACCCGGTGCTCGTGTGCACCGCATTCAAGAAAAATCGAATTTACCTGTTTACCAATAGAGAACCACACGACGTGAAATCCGAGTAAGGCGCTCTTCACCACACTGTTCCTCTTGATCAGCGACGACTTAATGTTGCTTTGCATTTATTTGAAATCGATTTCTTCTTTTCCCCGCTGCTGATACCTGTATTGGGAAACAGAGTGTGGTGCCTAGATCCACTGGAAGTCCTACAGTACTTGAAGCATAGATACATTTATATAGTCCGCGGATCAGTTTGATCAGTCTCATTTGGATTGATGATGACCATTTCACTTGGAGCCGCGTTAGCTACAACGAACTGTTCACCGATCTTGCTATTTGGATTGCAAACGCTTCGTCGCCTCTCGAGGTGACGTCGTCGGTGCAGAGGCGTTGGTAGTTTGGTTGTTTTATGCTCGCTGCCAGCTCTTGTAACGCAGTTGACGTCACTTCGACTGTTAACTAGACGTTTACAATTAAATTTCCTGTCTCGATGATCCACTCACCAACCGAGCAGGTGACTCGAACTATCAGTATTTCGAGCAGACCCCGTCTTTAGCTTGTATTTCCCGCAAACTAAGCCTTTACAAGTCTCTACGATTTGTTGTTCCATTCGCTAATATTTGGCAGTCTAAGGCTTAATATGTAATGCCTCCAACGCTCTTATCCTATTTCGGTCCTTAGTCTCGTGTGAAGCCAGGATCTTCTTTTCTATGGCACTATCAAATGAATAAATATCTGCCAGTTTGGCTGCATCTCTATCTTCTCTGGGATGGAGAGATCACTTTACACCCACTGGCGACCACTCGATCTAACTGATGACCTGTAAACCACAAGCCAGATATCCGGACCACGCGACCACCGAGCAGCAAAGATTACACATTGTGACAGTGAATCGCCCACGTGTTGCAGTCGTCTGCTGGCTCCCCCCCTCTTACCCTGTTATTTCTTTTGTAAACGGCTATTCACCATCCGGAATAATAAGTGCACTATCTTGTTCACCAGTGCCTAGAGACAATTAATCACCATATGTAATGTGCAGTTCGCCTTAAGGTCACCAGGTGGTATCGAAACTTTTTCATCACTATCCGATTCCATTAACGCGCATCATTACATCTGATCTGCTACTACTCATACGATCGTGCCTTTCACTTTCCCACTTTCTATCACCCTCGGGTAATTCGCTTCCGCCATAGCAAACGCTCGCCTTCATTAGGCTTTTCTTGTCCGCTTAGTTTACGTGTTTGTGTGATAAATGGCTTTTAGGGGCTTTGATCTATCTGGTCCAGTTGCGGCTGTTGTTCGATCAAATTTTCGCGAATTAACCATTTAGTTTAATGCACACTGTTCCTCTTGTTGTGTGCTTTAGTTACCGGTTGAACCAGTGCAATCGTGCCACACCTTATTACAATCATCAAAAATGATTCACCCACCCATATTCCCATCCTTTTGAAGTGGTTTTTACTTTTCCCTTTAACCGGTTATCAGGGGTGACATGATCACTTCAGGATCCGCTGCGGAGCGAGACATATTCAACGAGAAACCCACGAAAGAAGAGGTGTTGGCTGCCACGCGTGATTCAGCAACAGCTGCATCACGTTTAGCTGGGAGCGCTATTTTGCATACAACGCTGGGCGACATTCACATCCGCCTTTGTCCTCGGGAGTGCCCACGCACGGTGGAAAACTTCGTCGGACACTCGAGGGCCGGTTACTACAACGGCCACATTTTCCACCGTGTCATCAAAGGCTTCATGATTCAGACGGGATGTCCTCTTGGTACGCGCATAAGCTTCTCTCTCATTTTCTCTTATCCATTTCTGTTATCTACTGCGTTGATGCCCTTTCTCACGACCCACGAGTTATCTTTGCCCCCAACTCTCCGGTTTTTCACGAAATTTTCCTCTATTGAGTTACTCTCCAACATGAGCAGTCAGTGCACTCTTGTTGTAGTGACCCATCCCAGATTGTTAATGCCCTCTAATACCCTGAATACACTCTCCGAATTCGATATCGCAACATCAGATCAGTGCATGATTTCCCTCACGTGAACATTTGCCCTAACCCCAGATTGTTCCTTGTTGTCTCCACAGCGTGTTCTCAGGAGGAAAGTATTTACATCTCGTCTCCTACAGTAAAACCTCCGTAAGCTGACCACTCAAGGGACCAGGCCAAAGTAGTCCGCATAGAGACATGATCAACATATAGAGGTTTTATACAAAACGTAACATATCTTACTTTGTAGAAAGTAGAAGTCACGATTAAAATTCACGCACAATAATATGCCTCGACGCGGAGTCGAACCCCGGTCCACGAATTTCCGGTCCGCTGCTCTACCACCAGAGCTACCGAGGGCTACTCACAAACTTCCAACATATATCTTACTTTCTTGTCATCAGTAGTACAGCATAACTTTATTTTCACTTACATCCTGGTCCGAGTATTTAAATGAGCTCTTAATATTAAACACGGTTAAATTTTACAGCATTATAATAACTCGCAAACGCAGCGTGGTTTCCTCAAAGTTAACTAATCTCTTGAACACAGTCCATCTTTATCTGCTTCGGTATCTTATCAAGAACGTAACTGAACTGGTTAGCTTATAACTGCTTAGTCGACACTGATTGCACACATGTTCCGAAGAGTAGGCCTGATGCGTGCTTGTGTGTGTGTAGACGGGTGGGGGTAGGGTTCATACACAACGCTCGGAGCCAATCCCTGGACGCGGTAAAGGCTTATGCGCGTAAGCACTGAGGGGCGGACGGGACAAGAGTGCACACGCGCAAGCACAGGCAGAGGACATGCTATATCGTTAAACCTCTTAGGAGCCTTGAAGTGCAGTGACAGTGGATCCGGAGAATTCCACGCTTTACGAAATCTTGCTACATACATTTTATTTTTTAAACAAACGAGTCGTTCGGCGACCAGTGCACAGTAAACCTTCACATGGTCTAGTTATGAAATTTAATTTACTAATGACCGTTATGGCTCAAGTGTTAAACATGCAAGTTTATGGCGGGGATCAGTATGCAAATACGGCCAGCTTAGAGAGGTACTCAATTTCGGAGGTTTTACCGATTTATTAAATTTGTTATGGCACGTAAGTTCTGCTTCTTGTTTCAAGAGTAACAACCATCTCTTGGCATCTGCTGTTGCTCCTGTCTGGAAGTTGCGTCTATTTACTTTTGTCCATTACACGAATCATTGCTATAACTGTATCACCTCAGGACCTTAGTGGGACATGCCTGATCCATCTGCCAAGCCGTACCGTTCTCCTTAGCATCTTGACTGCGCAAACTGTTGGTTGACCACAGTGCTATGATTCTTGGTCCTGAAATAACGAAGCGCCGCTATGTCTGTCCGTTTTGAGGGACCTATGCATGCGTCCGATTGCGGGACACTACGATCATTGACATGTTGCTATACGCACCATCTGAAACCTTGCTCCACGTATTTTCACATCTCCTACGTGTCATTTTGTTGCACGTCACTGAATCTGCATTTTTTGTCTCGGTTTAACGAACTTCATCTACTGAAAGCATTTTCCTTGGAATAATTTACATCGGAAATTGTTTCTACTGAATTGACAAATTTGGGCAATTTTTCTCCCTTATTCAATCGTGAAATTCCTTGCAGTTTTAATCACCCACCTAGGATTTTTACCTCTTTTAATAGAGGAGTCTCCTAGCCTTCGATGGAACTTTCATTCGTCTCCTTCCATCACCTTATAGCTAGAGAAAAAACTACGTTCCCACTTTGAAACCCACACATGGGCGCAACCGTCAGCTTTCGCCGCTCCTGACTTCAGCCTATGCGACCGACCAACCGACCCAGCACGATATTTGCCTACACCAGACGCTATATATATATATATATATATATATATATATATATATTACAATTGGCTGAGTACCACAACACATAAGAAGAAAATACAGGTTGAAAGGGAAAACAATTGTTAGGGTGGATGAATCTCACAGAAAGTGCGCCATTGCGTACGGTCCTTGGCCATATCCTGTAGCGTTTGCAACCAGATGTGCTCGTCCCCAAGCCGGGAGTCGGGAACGCCCAACAACGGCGTGCTTCAATCTTTGTGCCTTAACACATCCGATCTAAGTTTTACATTGCCCTCCTTGTCGTCGCTTCTACCCCACGTCTGCGCTCGCAATTAAGGCACGTCGTGGTAGGCGCTGGGTAGGCATGCGGACCACATGCCCAAGCCAGCGAAGTCTCCGCAGTGAAATGATGCTATCAATCGGTCGGCGGAGTTCGTTAGATCTGAAGACTAGCAGAAGGACTTTCTCATTGCTGACGTGATGCTGCCATCGAATACCTTCACTGCTTCACGGGCAGCGGTGCTCAAAGACATATAGCCGATGAACACCGCTTTTACGAACGAGCCAAGTCTCACAGTCGTACAGCAGAATCGCTCGTACCGTAGCATTATAGACTCGTCCCTTGAAAGTGAGGTTGAGATCACGACGAAGCCACAGGTGACGAAGATTGGCGAAAGCGACTCTGGCCTTTGCAACACGCAGGGAGATCTCATCCGTCGAACCGCCAATACCAAAACAACTCCCAGGGTAAATGTATTTTTCGACCACTTCCAGCGGATACCCCGAATCAGTGAGAGAAGGACATGCGCTTGGTCAGTCCTGTAATAAAACCTTACATTTGGAAGGGGCAAAGCTCAACCCGAATTCGGAGGCGGACATCTCCAGTTTAAATAGCACATACTGGGCGGTTTGGGTGGACTCTTAAATCACAGCGATGTCCTCGGCGTACTCTAAGTCCCGAAGGCGGTCACCAGGGAGCAGTTCAACACCGTAGGACTCAGCCATCCAGAGGAGTATCCAGGATCTCGTCCATGGCGAAGTTGAACAGGAATGGAGAGGCTGGGCAACCCTGTCTAACACTGTCATTGATACTGAAAGAAGACGAAATGTCTCCGTATACGCGCACGCGGCCCCAAGTTTGACGGTAGATGGCATGGAGAATGCTGATGTACTTCACAGCAGTACGCATTCCCAAAGAGCCACTATGTCAACAGAGTCAAACGCGGCTCGAATGTCCAAAATGTGACTATGGTTGGTCGGCTGAACGCTTGGTGCTGTTCAAGTATCTGGCGGGTCGTAAACATGTGATGGATGCAACCGCGAAATCCGGCTTGTTGTTCACGCAGGGGCTGTTCCCGTACGCAACTGAGCCTCTGCAAGAGTAGGGCAGCGAGCAGTTTGGATTAGACACAAATGGGACTGCTGCCACGATGGTTGAAACACTTGGTCCGGTCTCCTTTTTGTAAGCAGGTACAACATCCGCTAAATTCTAGTCGAATGGGATGGTTTCAGTAATCCAAATCTGATGGAAGAGAGATATCCGTTCACGGGTGAGAGCATTACCCCATATTTGAAGAGGACAGGAGGAAGTTCATCTGGGCCAGATGACTTGTGGCGTTTTAGTAGACGATGCTCATGTGAAACCTCAGCCTCAGTCGGTGGAACAACATCCATGCACCAGTGAGCAATGTGAACACCGGAAGCTAGACTCAGTTGGGCTTGTGGCCAGTTGAACTGATCTTCATAGTGCTCTGCCCAGACGACGGTGATGACTGTGCATCCGTTCACGCAAAACCTCACTCACTGTTGTCCTTCTGCCTCCGGTGGACCGAATAAGCTGGAAGAGTTTGCGGGAGTTTCATGATGAGACTGCCCACTCAATCTCAATGACGCGTTCTGTTCACCAAACCTCGCGCTCCTTCCTGGAGAGCTGTCTGAGCTCAACACCTGTGATTCTGCGCCTTACCCGCGACCGTAGGACTCACGGACGCAACACACAAAGCACGATGACCCAGTCATCTGTCCTGCACTTGACGATCTGCGGCCAAACGCTAGGCAACGGCGACGCGCCGGGTACCTGCAAGCAGAACAACGACCATTCGGCTATCACGACCACAACACCGGCTACCCTAATCAAATTACCTTGTGCTAAACAAATATGTGCAAAGTTTGTAAAACTAGGCTTGACGTGTGCAAATTGCATTAGCCGATACCATTCGACGTGCGTCAGTCTGTCGAAGCGGATTAAAGAAATATAGTACAGCCGCAAAACTTTTCAAGGACTGGGTGCAACCTGCAGAGGCGTCACCAAAGCCCTCGAGAACCGTGCCTCTCACATTACTGAAAACCAGGTGGAACTAAAGTGCCTTGACACTTATATACACCAACATCCCTGAGTCCAAAACAAACTCCTTAAGGGTAAGCAGCTGGATAAAATAAAGCAGTGGAATTTCCTTTGTGAAAGAATTGGAGTTCAATCCAGACCGACTAAAATACTGCGCATCACTAGACATCCAAACTCGATTTAACACGGGGATTCCCGGCTAATGCGATCTACAGATGATGTCGAGATGGTGCTTTTGTCGGCATACCGTCTGCGGACTTAATACAGTGGGATACGCATATTTCCGGATGTTCCATGGAGCGAACGCCAACGAGACAAAAATACTTCAAACGGCTACGACACCGTGAGAAGCAAAAAAGTCGTTTTCGTTCATGGCGTGCTTGGGCTACCGGCATCTAACGACGAAGGAGCCCATGCTCCTGACCTGCAAGAATGGCGTTATCTCCGTGAAGCTCTCTGTGCTGGTGATATCATACTTCAGTCAATTGCATGGTTACCTGTGTCGCCACACTACCAAGGCACTGGCCCGAGGATACTGAAACTAATGGTACAGTCACAACCGATGGCGGTGAACATAATCCGCAGAGAGCAGATAATGC